GGTAACTATGGGGAGGAAGTGGGAGGGGAGCTGTTGCATTGTGGTACACTGTGGTCAATGATATGAGACAAAGTGTATGTGAACTGCTGTATGGATAGTGAATTTGCTCTGTAAATCTTCACCCAAATCACAATTAAAAAAAAAAAAAGATATATGAAGCTGATAAACAAAACCATAATTTTTATAGATATTATGTAATCAGAATATACAAATTATCCCAAATAAGTACATCTAATAATTATCTTCATATATGCAAATGTTTTTGTCCAAATATTTTTTAAAACAATATACATGGTTGTTAGGTATCATCAAGTCATATCCAACTCACAGAGACCCCATTTACAACAGAACAAAACACTGCCTGGTTCTGCCCCTCCTCACATTCTTTGCTATGCTTGAGCCCATCGTCACAGCCACTGTGTCAGTTCAACTCATTCAAGGTCTTCCCCTTTTTGGTGACCCTCTACTTTACCAAGGAGCTCTGGTAGCATAGTGCCTAAGGCACTTGACTGCTAACCAGAAGGCTGGTGGTTCAAACCCACCAGCCACTCCTCGGAAGGAAGGCTGGGCAATCTACTTCCGTAGTGATACTGCCTCGGCAACCCAAGGAGGGGTTGCTATGAGTCAGGTCCGACTCGACAGCACATAACAACAACTACTTTACCAAGCATGATATCCTTCTCCAGGGACTTGTTAATTCTGACAGGATGAAGAAAGTAGGTGAGAAAAAGTCTGGCCATTCTAAGGAACAAGACAGATGTACTTTTTCTAAGATTTGTTCATTCTTCTGGTAGTCCATAGCATTTTCAGTATTCTTCACCAAAGCTACAATTCAAATGCATCAAAATTTCTTCAGCCTTCCTTTCACATGCATATGAGGCTGCTGAAAATACCATGGCTTAGATCAGGCATATTTTAATCTTCAAAGTACCATCCTTGCTCTTTAAGAGCTCTTTGCAACAGATTCACTCAGTGGAATATGTCCTCTGATTTCTTGATTGCGGCATCCATGGATGATTATGTGGATACAAGTAAAATGAAATCTCTGAAACTTCAATCTTTTCTCCATTTATCATGATGTTGTTTATTGGCCCACTTGTGAGGATTTTTGTTTTCTGTATGTTGAGGTGTAATCCACACTGAAGACTGCAGTGTTTGATCTTTATCAGTAAGTGCTTCAAATCATCTTCACTTTGAGCCAGCAAGGTTGTGTCATGTGCACATCACAGGTTGTTAAGGAGCCTTCCTTCAATCCTGATGCCACATTCTTCTTCATATAGTCCAGCTTCTCGTATGATTTGCTCAGCATACAGATTGAATAAGTATTGTGAGAGGATACAACCCTGATGCACACCTTTCCTGATTTTAAACCACACAGTACCCTCTTGTTCTGTTCAAACGACTGCCTCCTGGTGTATTTACAGGTTCCTCATGAGTACAATGAAGTGTTCTGGAACTCCCATTTTTTCCAACATTAGCCGTAATTTGTTATGATCCACATGTTGTTGTTATGTGCCATCGAGTCAGACCCGACTCATAGCGACCCCTCCTTGGGTTTCTGAGGCAGTAGATTGCCCCATCTTCCTTCCGAGAAGTGGCCGGTGGGTTTGAACCACCAGCCTTCTGTTTAGCAGTCAAGTGCCTCAGGCACTACGCTACCAGACCTCCTATGATCCACATAGTCGAATGCTTTTGCATAGTTAATAAAACACAGGTAAACATCTTTCTGGCATTCTGTGCTTTCACCCAAGATCCATCTGACATCAACAGTGATATTCTTTGCTCCAGACCCTCTTCTGAATCTGGCTTGAATTTCTGGCAGTGCCCTGTCAATATACCGCTGCAACCATTTTTGAATTATCTTCAGCAAAATTTCACTTGCGTGTGACATTAATGATATTGTTCTGTAATTTCTGCATTCTGTTGGATCACCTTTCTTTGGAATGGGCACAAATATCGATCTCTTCTAGCCAGCTGGCCAAGCAGCTGTTTTCCAAATTTCTTGGCATAAATGAATGAGTAACTCCAGTGCTTCATCCATTTGTTGAAATATGTTAATGGGCATTCCATCAATTTCTGGAGCCTTGCTTTTCACAAATTCCTTCATTGCAGTTTGGACATTTTCCTTCAGTATCACTGGTTCTTGATTATATGCTATCCCCTGCAATGGCTGGATGCCAACCAATTCTTTTTGGTACAATGACTCTGTGTATTCCCTCCATCTTCTTTGATGTTCAAAATTTTGCCCATAGAATTCTCCAATATTGCAACTTGAGACTTGAATTTTTTCTTCAGTTCTTTCAGCTTGAGAAATGCCAAGAGTGTTCTTCTCTTTCAGTTTTCTAATTCCAGGTCATTGCACTTTACTTTGTCTTTGTGAGCTGTCCTTTGAAATCTTCTGTTCACCTCTTTTATTTCACCATTTCTTCCATTCGCTTTAACTACTCGCCATTCAAGAACAAGTTTCAGAGTCTCTTCCAACATCCATTTTGGTCTTTTCTTCATTTCCTGTCTTTTCAGTGACCTTCTGCTTTCTTCATGTATGATATCCTTGATGTCCTCCCACAACTAGTCTGGCCTTCGGTCATGCATGCTCAATGCGTCAAATCTATGCTTCAGATGGTCTTTAATTCAGGCGGTCTCTAAATTTAATGTTGTATTTTGGCCCTTGTGGATTTGTTTTAATTTTCTTGAGCTTCAACTTGAACTTGAATATGAGCAATTGATGGTCTTTTCTATAGTCAGCCAGTTCCTGGCCTTGTTATGACTGATGATATTGAGTTTCTCCATGGCCTCTTTCCACAGACATAGTTGATTTGACTTACGTGTACTCCATCTGGCAAGGTCCACATGTACAGTCACTGTTTTATGTTGCTGAAACAAAGTATCTGCAAGGAATAAGTTGTTGACCTTGCAAAATTCTATCAAGCAATCTCTGGTGTCATTTCTTTCACCAAGGCCATTATTTTCCAACTATTGATACTTCCTCTTTGTTTCCAACTTTTATACTGCAATTACCAAAAATCAAAACCCAAATGCATTGCCATCAAGTCGATTCCAATTGACAGTGACCTAATAGGACATAGTAGAACTGCCCCATTGGGTTTCCAAAGCTATAAATCTTTATGAAAGCAGACTGCCTCATGTTTCTTCCACAGAGTAGCTGGTGGGTTCAAACCAGTAACTTTTTAGTTAGCAGCCAAATGCCTTAACCATTACACCACCAGAGTTTCTTTGCAATCATCAGTAATTATCAATACATATCGATAGCATGTTTGGTCAATTTCAGACAGCAGAAGTTGATAAAAGTCTTCCATGACTCATCTATTAGTTTGTCATACTGTGCTGGTTTGCATGTTGCAGTGATTCTGTAAGCTATGTGGGTATTTAAAATACCAACAGGGTCATCCATGGTGGATAGGTATTAGTAGACCTTCCAGACTGAGACAGACAGGGAAGTAGGACGGGCCATGCACTTCTGAAAAAAATGGCCAATGAAAACCTTATGAATAGCAGTGAAATACTGTCTGATATAGTGCTGGAACACTCAGGTTGGAAAGCATTCAAAATACAACGGGGAAGGAACTGCTTTCTCAAAGTATAGCCAAACAAAACCAAACTTCTGTTGAATTGATTTGACTCACAGCGATCCTTCCTTGGGTTTCTGAGGTGGTATCTCTATGGAAGTAGATTGCCCAATCTTCCTTCCCAAGAGTGGCTGATGGGTTTGAACCACCAACCTTCTGGTTAGCAGTTAGATGCCTTAGACATTACCAGAGCTCCCTCCTCAGAGTATAGTTGGCCATTTTGATTTGGACAATCATATGCTGTGAACAACCAATTGAAGAGGAATGGCACTGCATTCAGTCAAAAAGAACATTTCAAGATCTATTCTGAAAGAGTGGGTAAGGCATTTGGCTGCTAACCAGAAGGTTAGTGGTTTAAACCCACCAGCTGCTCCACAGAAGGAAGATGAGGCAATCTACTTCTCTAAAGATTTACAGCCTTGGAAACTCAACAGGGCTAGCTATGTGTTGGAATTGACTCCATGGCAGTGGTTTTTTTTCATTCTGAAGTACAATGCTGTCAATGATAGGATAATATTCATATGCCAGGAAGAAGACCAGTTAATATTATTATTATTCAAATTTACTTGCCAATCACTAAAGCCAAAGATCAAGAAACTGAAATCAATAAATACTCCTATATATATTCATTAAGCAGTGCAATATGTAATAAAAAACAAATAAAACAGAATTATAATACCTTTATGAAATATCAAATCAGTGTTTAAATTTTCCTCTTTCATAAATTTTGCTCTGTTGTATATATGGTCACTATGCATCTGAGCCTATTCAACAGCACCTAACACCACCACCACCACCACCACCACCACCACCACCACCACCACCAAGGCAAGACCATTCTATACCCTACCCAATAAATCAAGATGCTTTCAAGTTTGACTGGTGAGAACAGACCCTGTATCCAACCCTGTGTAAGCACCAAGCACTGTTACCTCTAATTCTTATAGGTGGTAATTCCCTTATACTTGGTAGTTTCTTCACATGCATGTATGGGTTGGTCAGTACTCAACTAATAGCGGAAGGGGAACTCTTAAAGCTGTCCAGAGTTCTCTCTCTTCAGTACTGTCATCCCCTGGTATCCACAGGGGATTGATTCTAGGACCCCCTGTGGATATCAAAATCTGTGGGTGCTCAAGTCCCTTATATAAAATGGCATAGTGTTTGCATATATACTATATACATCATTCTATATACTTTAAATCTCTAGATTACTTATATTACCTAATACAACATAAATGGTATTCATGCAACACTTTATGTTCCCTCTTAGCTTTTGAGGGATTGCTTTCACACTTAATTGCTTTTTTCCCCCCTGAATATTCTCGACCTGTGGTTGGTTGAATCCATGAATGTAGAACCTGTGGATAGAGAGGGATGACTGTATGCGGTTCTGTTAACTCTAGCCATCTTGTTCTCCCCAGACTCTGTTCCACCTCTTGAACTCAAGAATGCTGGCTGGGCTCAGGCTTAATTGCTCTTCCCTGTACTAGAGTCTGGAAACTCTCTCAAGGCAGTAGACTGGTGAAATCATAGGTAACTG